ATGAGCTGTGAAAAGTATTAAAATACCAGAGCAATTCCAAAAATGTATTAATATACGGGGTGTTCCATTTAAAAAAATAAAGTTGCTAGGACTTTTTGATGGAAGTGGCAACGCCGTAATGCTAAAAATATTTTAGATCGATAGAACAGGTAAGGAAATGTAAGAGGTGAAATTTTCAGAAAAATCATGCTCTGCGTTTTCCAGAAACGTCTAACCTACCATCGACCGTGAGTCACGCTGTATAAATTTGGTGTAGAATTTGAATAAACGTTTTATTAATTCATTTTTGTGAATTTAGTAAAGATGAATCAACTGTTCCTCGAATTGAAAATGAAAGATATTGTAGATTCCAATATATCAAACTGAAATAAATACATGGTATTTCAGAGGAATTAAATTTCCAACCCTAAATAGTATTCCTAAACTTGGCCTGATTTTCCTTGTCAACATCCCAATATGAACTGGCATTTTATCCTAGACATACAAACTGTTTCAGTAGAGATGAATAATTTTCAAACCATCGTTCAATTATAATCTGATTCTTTCATTATATTTTTTATGGTAAGAAAAATTTCAAACATTTGAGTAGGAATTTATTTATCAGAAAAATAAACATATAAAAATTGAACGAAACAACTATTACAACAACTGTTCAAAGTGACGACCCACAACAGTAATCCAAGCTTCTGCTCTCCTCATCAAAGAAATCCGCACCCGTTGAAAAATGCCCGGAGTGTTTCTTATCGTTTCGCAGCAAGCTATGATGCGAATTTCCTCGTTTTCAATAGGGCTAGCATAAACTAGTGATTTTAGGTGTCCCCAAAAGGAAAAATCGACGGGATTGAGGTCCGGGGAACTCTGGGGCCAATGTTCAGTGCCTCCTCTTCCTATCCATCGTTGGGGATATACTAGGTCTAAAAATTCCTTGCTATCATACTAAACTGTGCAGGAGCTCCATCGTGTATAAACCAAGAGTGATTTCGGAGACCAATGGGAACATCTTCCATAAGTTGGGGAAGCTCGTGTTCCAAAACATGTAGGTAAGCATCTCCATTCAAACGTAAGTGGAGAAAATAGGGCCCAATTAAATAATACCCTATTATGCCTACCCATACATTAACAGGGAATCTGTCTTGGAAATGAGTTTGCGTTATCGCATGTGGATTATCTTCCGCCCAGATGTGGTTGTTTTGGAGGTTCATGATACCATTTCTTGAAAAATTAGCCTCATCTGTGAAGAGGATTTTCGAGAAAATTTGCGGATGTTGTTCGACTTTTCTTTGAAGCCATTGAACAAATTCGATACGTAGTTGAAAATCACGTAGCGTAAGTACATGGACACGCTGAATATGATAAGGATATAATTGCTGTTCCTTTAAGATTCTGTAAACTGTCATGTGACTCACATTCAAAGTTTGACTAATTTCTCTTGTACTTGTCTCTGGATGTTCACTAATTTCTTCGAGAACCGCCTCCTCCAATTCTACAGTTCTTGTAGTCCGTGGCCGTCCTACTGCAGAATTTGTTTCAAAGCTTCCAGATTCGGAAAGTCGCCGGAAAAGATTCGCAAATGTCGCTGCACAATGAGTCACGCGTTGGGGATACCTTTCCTGATAGATGCGTCTGGCCTCGCTTGAATTTCCGACAGCCAAGGCGTATGCAAAAACCATATCAGCCATTTCAGCATTCGTAAAGTCGGGCATGGTACCAAAAAATCACTTTATAAACTCCGAACTGTGAATTTGCCAATTAATAGTTAAAAATGTGACAGCGAACTTCTATTTTTATAAATCATAACCTACTCGATTTAATTAACTTAATTTGCAAGAGGAGAGTGACAAAAATTATTGAAATCAAATTTGGCTATAAAGTAATATGCATCGATATAGAAAATTGTAAATATCTCGAAAACGATCACCTCCAGCGTTGTTGAGGAGGTGTACCTTTTTTACTTGGAAAAGGTGTGGGAATTAGGTTTTTTCATAAAAAGTACTAAAAGTTTACGGTAAAAAAAGTTAGAGCAATTTGAAATAAATAATGACAGCGTACGCTGCGCCCTCTAGATATTACATGAAAATTAATACAAAATTATGATTTCCCACATCAAAATAACCTTGGGTACCGAATTTCGTGCAAATAACTTATTTTTTGCAAGAGTTATTTTCAAAAAGCGAACAAAAAAAATTCAATTTCAACACTCCGTATTTCCGAAACGAAGCATTTTCGGACACAAGTTCATATATACTTTTTTTTTAAATTGTCTCAGGAATACGTTACTCAAATATTTTAACGTCTTTATGTTACACCCTGTATATTAACTGAAAATACTGTATTTGGTTTTGATATGAGCAATAGATGTAGGTTAGGTTAGGTCAAAAGTGAGTGAGTCTATTCGACCCTCCACCGCAACCCGCATGGGTTTATTGTGACTCACACCTATTCACACTCGGCCAAATATACCCGGCGATGCCGATTAGTTTGTATGGTGAGTGGTCTTTCAGGTCAGATGGTGAGAGTACGGATCTGCCGAACTCAAAGAACCTGATTCGGACCCCAGCGGGGCAGGCATAAAGTATGTGCTCTGCTGTTTCATTATTTTCGAAACAGAGCTGACACACGCTGTCTTCCGACAGTCCGAGTCTCTGCATATGACGATTCAAATGACAGTGACCTGTGAGAAGGCCTGTTAGATATCGTAGTTCATCCCTACTTGATACCAAACTGTAGTTTGATAGGTTCTTAGGCAGGTTGATATCTCTGTCCTGAGTCAGCGACACTTAGCACACCTAAAATATGGAAGACCAGAAAAATCAGCAGTCGCCCATCATGTTTTGCAACAAAATCATTCCATACTTTAGTTCATATAAATAACGATAACATTGTGAGTATACTCAGTTTAATCTTTCTCTTGAAGATGATCACTTGGTGATCGAAACACGTGTCGGGGTGTTAAAATAACGGTTTGGTGTTGGGATAAAACTCCAGTAATATTCAGTACTCTCATTCATGAAAAGGTAATATTTTGATGATAATTTAGACAAACTCGAAATATTTAATTAACACCAAGAAATTGACAGGTAAGGAATTGTAAGATGTGAAATTTTCAGAAAAATCTTGCGTTGTGTTTGCCAAACCTACCACCGACCGTGAGTCCGCTGTATATTAGGCCGCGAGATTTTTCAGCAATTGCAATAAACTAGTCATTGAATGACAGAAGTTCACCATCAACGGAGTTTCCTACATTGATGATAATATTAACTTTAATCAAGGCACTTAATAATAGGGGAGCCCGAGCGGGGATTTCGGGATTTACTAAAGCGCGGCAGATTAATATACAGGGGGATACCTTGTACCTGNAAGGTATATATATTATATAACATTTTTTTCTTCTTATCATCTAAGCTTTGCAACCATTATGTCTCAATGACGCTCGAGTAAATTCCCATTTTGCATCGTGCTAGCATCCCTGCTATAATGATCCTTAGTCTAGATAGTTAAATCGTCGAATAATATTTTTACTTACAAGTGCATTCGTTTCCTTTATAATAATATCCATCTCTGCACTGATCACATTTCAAACCTGCATATTTATTTTTGCAAGTACAACTGCCAGTTTCTTGGTCACATAACTCCGAGACCGATCCCAGTGGATCACACTGACATCCTGCAAAATTAAAATTATTTCGAAAGAATACTACCACTGAGAATTCAACTTACTTATACAATCGGAAAAATTGAAAAAACCAGGAGCGCATTCTTTACAGTATTTTCCTCCGAAATTTGGTAGACAGTTACATTCCCCTTCATGTGCGGAACATTGTAATTGACGGGTACCATTCAGGTAACATTCGCAAGGCTTGCAATCAGGATAACCATAATAGCCAAAACTACATTTATCACAGTTTGGAGGTGTATATTCTTTTTTACATTCGCATCGACCTGATCCTTCCGCACAATTTCCGGTAGAGTAAAAAACGTCACACTGGCAATCTGAAAGTCAAAGTTATTTTGTAAGGTTGAATATGTCAAAAACAGTTTATTATATTCTTACAGAACTACAACTTGGCTTTGACATTAAAAAAATATTCTCACCCGGAAAAAGTAAGTATTAGATTCATATAAAAATTATAAAAGGAATAAACTGAATCTCAGTTCATATTTATGTCAATGACAAGAACACTAGTTGGTAGTAAAAACAGAAGTTGCCATGTAGTCATGTAATCAACAAGTTCAGAAATATGAAAAATAAAGATAAAGGTCCTAAAAATTCGATTCGGAATCACCTCTAGAAAAATGTTTTTGAAGGATTTTGGTG